TAATTTTTGGAACTACCATTTCTAATTCCACATATTTTTGTGTTACCAAATTACATATTTGGAATTATTACCCGCAATTCTAATTTCATAGTTTGAATTTCGTATAAGTCCGTTTGGTACACAAAATTGACGGAATTGGAATTGAATTGGAAGTTGAATTTCTATAATATTAATTTGGATGAAATTAAATTTTCTAATTCCAACTAATTTTTGGAACTACCATTTCTAATTCCACATATTTTTGTGTTACCAAATTATATATTTGGAATTATTACCCGTAATTCTAGTTTCATAGTTTGAATTTCGTATACTAAACACAGCCTAAGCCAAATTTTAGTCCTAAATTTTGAAATTTAAGAAAAAATGAAGATATTTGCAGTAAAAAAATAATAATTCTCCCAGGTAGTAGAAATAAAACAGAAGAAGCTGCGTCGCCTGAGAGATTCGAACTCTCGCGGGGGAACCCCATGTACTTAGCAGGCACACGCCTTAACCACTCGGCCAAAGCGACGCTCGTATTTTTCCTTGGAAATGTTTATATATGTACTTTAAACAAACCGGCGGACCGCAAAAGCCCAACGACCGATGGGTCCCATTGATCTAACGCCACCCAATCCCCCTCCTTTCCCCCCCTGTGGTGGAGAGGAGCCTGATCTCCATTGTCAATCCCTCCACCGCCGCGGCCACCCTCCGCCTCCTCTATGGCCTCACCCGCCACTACCTCCGCCGACGTTACCGGCCGCGCCGCCGCAACTGGCGAGCTGCATCATCTCCAGACTCACTGGTGTCACGAATGCGACATGAGCGTCTTCCTCCTCCGCCCTCCCACTCCTTCCCCAGCGCGCTGCCCTCACTGCAGCTCCGACTTCCTCGTGCAAATGGACTCTTTTGCCCCTCCTCCTCCTCCTCCTCCGCCGCACAACCTCAGCTCCAATAGCCCTACTCTCGCTCCCTTATTCGCGGATCACAACGCGACTCTCATCCCCTCCGATGAGAATTTCCTCCTCGACAGCGTTTCTCTCAACCGCCTTATCCGCAGTATGGCCACCACCAACGAGGCATTCACCACCGCCAGCCGCCACCATAACCCTACCTCAAGGTCAGCTATACAATCGCTCCAAATCTTAGAAATAGACTCTTCAATTTTGGAAAGGGATCCGATTTTGCCCTGTCCGATTTGCAAGGACCAGTTCCTGGTAGACATGGAAGTTAAATTGTTGCCGTGTAAGCACATGTACCATTCCGATTGCATTTTACCTTGGTTGGAGATTAACAATTCGTGCCCGGTCTGTCGGTTCCTGCTTCCTCCACGGGAAGATGAGGACTGTGAGGATGACAGTTTTCCTAGAGGAGATAACTTCATAGGATCAATGAGACTTGAAGAGTTGATGGATGATGACGAAGAAGAGTTTTTTCGATTTCAAAGTACTATAAGGCGTATTGTACAGATGAGTGAGACCGTCTCCACGATGAGTGGAGAGAGGGATGAAGCTGTTGTACACATTGAACGGAGGCATCATAGTATGATGGAGGGTGATGGCACGAGTGAAGTCTTTCTTCGTTCTCCCACACAATTTGGGGAAGCTGATCTAGAGGTTGGAGTTGCTCGAAGGGCTGCCAGTGTGGAGACTGTTTCTAGTATCCCGTGTTTCCCTGTGGATAATGCCTGTGCTGGGGATGTTGGTGTTTGCAGTAATAGTTTGGATGAAGCAGATGCTGCAGTGAGGTCATGAAGTAAAGCCAGAAAGGTTAGCATCTTTCTCAGAAATTTACCTTCTGCAATTTACTCTATGATTTTTTAAGTTAGATAAAGACTACATCTGCTTAAGAGTCCTTGCATTGAACATGTCTGCTTGGATTGAGAACTATTTAATGCTGCTATAAGCTTCAGACTTATTGGACATTTGTTTACATTATCTTATCCTCCGGCCTCCGCTCCTCCCCAAACTGAACTTTGCACTATCCTTTTTGGTATGTCCCAAAATATTGTTTACACTTTCATGTTTTCCTATTTGAAGATGAGTATGTGGCTCACAATCTTTTCTGCTAAACAAATTTCAACAGATTTTCTTCCCAACATTATTGTTCAGTTCATAATTCTGGGACGGAGCGAGTATTATTGTTGAGTTGAGACTCTCACTTTTTTCTTCCCAATACTATTGTTCAGTTCATAACTCTGTCATGCCTTAGTTGTTTATATAGGCACGGGATACAAATTTTTAGATGATTATTCTTCAATGTAGTGATTAATTAGCTGCATTTACTAAATAGGAGATCAAACTGTAAATACTATGAGTTCTTTGATTAGTTTTTGTTACTTTGTATTAATGGAAAAGCTCCCAATTTAACATGATAACAATAGGAATTGCGCATTGGAGCCTGGGACCAAAAATTTTAAGTGGTTGAAATTGTGTAGAAAGACGTTATAGTTCAAGGACTCACACCCAATCGCACATCAAGGAAAAAGTTTGAACTCATAATTAAATCTAAAAAGCAACAACAGACTCTTCTAAGTTCTACCATTGGATTCAGTGCTCTTGCACAATTCAGGCTTAATTCAGTGCTCTTGCACAAACTCATTGATGAACAACCACTGAATAATTTTCAATTTGTTACAACCATTTTCTTTTGAATCTGCTTTTTATACGGAGTAAATAAAATCATATAGATTATATAAGCATGAAAGATGGTGAGTTCTCTTGATGGGTGTGTGTTTTGCTGGCAATGAAAACTGCACAAATTGGTATAAATGACGTAAATTCTGTCTTGATTGCCAAAAGCCTTACATTATAGGCTTATTGCATTTCATTAAAGTTTTCCAAAATATGAATTATGTTCCGTCCATCCCTAAAAAAGTATTCCTATATGTTCACTAGTCATAATAAGGTCAAACTATATCTTCTTTCCTACATACGGAGTATTTTATTTAGTCATTTGTTAAAATAAAATAGTTAAGCTACCTCTTGTTTTATATAGCTTTTCATGTAGTTTATCTCTCTCTCTCTCTCTCTCACACACACACACACACACAGACTCTCTCTCTCTCTCACTCTGTGTGCGCTCGTAGATGCGTGCATGCGTGGGTGTGTGTGCATTTGGGTGTCATATTATGACACCAAGCTTTTACGGTGCTCCATTGAGCACCAAAGTTGTTCTTACCACCCAAACCTGCACCCTTCCACATGCACCCACCCCAAATTTGTCATTTTGCTACCGTGGTTACTACAGAAAAACAGAAAATGTCGTGAGGACTGGAGAGTTTGGGAGGGTTAGGGCTTAGGGGTAGGAACAACTTTGGGGTCCAACATAGCATTGTAGGAAGATTAAATATTTTTAGTTTCAAACCATTGCAGCAACAATTTGGATGCAACATGTTTATTGGAACTACTAATTCATTTATCAGTTATGGCCATGCGTAAAGCGGTTTGTTTCATCCCATAATACTGAAAGAAGGAAATTTGCTTTAAACTATGATTTGAACTCAATTCTCTTAGAAATAATTGCATGATTCATGTCAGAATTATGCTCCCTTACAAAGTCAAAGTGGCATTTTGTATCTTTAGGTCCCTGTTTATTAATTATTTTTTGCATGTGCATACCATCAACCTTTAATATTGAATGTTATTTCTTATCTGCCATCTATATAGGAAATAGCTATTACGAAGTATAGAAACACATTTGGATCATATTATTTGCATTTTATTTCTGGCAACTATGAAAGAAATTTACAAATAAGAAAATAACCTTCTAAGAACTATACTCTTGCTCATGAAATGCCTGAAAAATCTAAGCATTCAGGGATATGCCAATGCTTTACAGGCATATGAGTTGTGCGCATAACTAATTGTTATTGTGTTTAAGAGTATCTTTTAAAATTAGAGGTGCAGCACACAGATTATTTAGTTTCTGAAAGTTGCAAACTTTTCTTTTAATTAGTTCCATGTGGATATTACGGAGTATAATAGAATTCTTTATGATCACTTCATTCTTCTTTACACAGATTAATGAGTACCAGTGTAGGCAAGTTTTGAAGGAATGGTTATTGGATCGATCATCAATTGTCCATTTAAGATATTATGATTATAGATGTGATAATAAAGCATAAAAACGGTTTTAGGATCTTTTTTTGTTAGCAAAAACGGCAGAATGTTTTCATTAAAATAAATGAATATCCCAAGAAAAAAAGATATCAGAATTAGGAATTGCCAATAAATAACTTAAAAGTAAATGAGAGTTAAGGCGTTACCATATTCATTTAATTTATAGTACCAAACACATTATCCATGCCCAAACAGGTCAAATTACTCAAATATACTAATAAAAACTTAAGCGGTGGGCGTGTTTTAATTTGCTTTCTCCCACCGCACACGACTCATTTCTACACATTTCTTTAATGCAAGGAACAGAAATTTATATACACGTGTCCGTCTCCAATCCTTGCTGCTCTCACCAATATTCTACTTCATCTCTATTCCCTTACTTTGATGTATATATATCCTACAATTTCCTCCTCTCTCAAGAAAGTGACTATGGACCTTCCTGCAATTTCTGCTCCGCCTAGTTACTCTCACATCCCCAACCATTACCACCATCTCACTATCTATGGAAACCCTTCCCTTACCTCCGGTCCTATCAATGACTTTCCTACTTCAAGGTCTGCAATCGAATCACTTGAAAGCATAAAAGTGAACTCTTCATTTCTAGAAAAAGAGCCAAATTCTTGTTGCCTAATTTGTGCAAAGGAGTTCGAGTTGGATGGGGAAGTTAAGATATTGCCATGTAAGCATGTTTTCCATTCAGATTGTATTTTGCAGTGGTTAGAGATGAAGAGCACATGCCCAGTTTGTAAATTCCAGCTGCCAACACAGGAAGATGAGGATTATGATTTGCTGGGATTGCCAAGAGGCGAGAATTTTATAGGGACAATAATTTCAGAAGAATTGTTCAATGAAACGGAGGAGGAATTTGTTAATTTACATGGTCCACCCGGACAAAACTTGTTCAGGCCTGATGTTACCGTGGACAGTTGGACGATTGACTTTTCCATGATGAACCATTCTGATTATGACAGGGAGTTTCTTGCTTTAGCAAGCATATGTTTGAGACTAAGTGATGTTTTGGATTATCTGTTTATTAGGTTCTGTGGCTTCTGTGGGTGTTTGATGGAAAGTGATATTGAATGTGTCTTTGTGCCATCATCAGTGAACATTTCAGAGGATCGTCCTGGTGTTTATTTAATGGGAACAGCAACATTGAGGAAAGTGCGGTTCAGATGGAACTGATTGCAAAGTTTTAAACTTTGCAAGGTTTGGGTTTTGTTTCAAAGGAGCTTAGGTATGATTTGCTGTTAATTGTAGATGATAGTCAACTTGTCCCTTTTTTTTTATAGTGAAATGGTTGACTGCTTAAATAGGTCCTAGGCAAATAGAATTGCTTGAGCCAATAGGTGATACTGTTGTAGACTTCTAGTCACTAAGGCTTGGTGATTGTCAAATATGCCCACTTTATCTTGGTTTTTCTGGCAACATTGATATTGATAGCAGTTTTTTTACGTTTTAAAAACTATATATAGACCCGTTAGTATATTTCCTTTTCTTTTGAATTTTGATCCCAACTTATCAATTTTTGGTCTGATTTGTCATTTTCACTTTATTCAATTACTTGAACTGAGGGATTTTGAGCTCATCTAGGAAAAAAATTCTGCATACATCTTAGTACCTTGCAGGAATTGCAGTCTATCTACAATGTAGGTCCCTTCCTATAGAAGTTATTCGGCCATATCTACTTTGGGGTGTCAAAACAATTTCTTATCCCCCCCCTCCATCCCAACAAATACTTCTTACTTATGTTTGTCCCAAAATAAACTTCGATTGAGTAGCACCATTCCTCTCTCCTTTACATAAATCTAATCACACAATTTTTCTTTTTCTCAAACTTTGTGCGAAAGTAAATGAGAAGTCTAATTTTAGATGTGGGGAGTAAATAGTAGCGGGATTTAGTGATTGTCAATTGTTTATAGGGTTAAATATGTTTTTAGTCCATGTAAAATAGACAACTTTTGTTTTTGGTCCCTATAAATTCTTTTGTTAAATCATCCTTACAAAAATTTTTATTTTGAAAATGGTCCTTAAACGTGATTAGCACTTATTTGCTGAAATAATACATTTATTTCGTACTCAACATCCTAATCTTGCATTTGTAATCACCTAAGACACAATTCTCATGCCATTGATCGTGTCCTTCATCGAAGTACATCTCCAATTTCCCAATTATGTTATACTATATTCCCAAAATATTTGGCAATTGGAGATGTTATATAAATATTGACACAATTTAGGACATGAGAATTGCGTCGGAGGTAGTAGAAATGCAAGACTAGGATGTTCAGTATGAAATAAATCTCAACAAATTAGAAGTGCAAATTATGTTTAAGGGCCATTTTCAAATTAAAAAAATTTGTAAGGCTGACTTAACAAAAAAAATTACAAGGACAAAAAATAGAAGTCCTTATCTTGCAGGTTTTAGAAACAAATTTAACCCTTATTTTTATTAGATAATCAATTTGCCAAACAACAACAAACCCATACAATGCTGCTAAGAGTAATGTTTGGGGGTGAGTGCATGCAGACCTTACCAATTGGGTGTAATATATGTGCAATCAAATCATGTACAGGAGCAAATGCACATAACTGACTTTCAAATCATAAACCAACTAACCATTATGGTACAAATATTAACATTTTATGATATAACCATTTCTAGTATTGTTTACATAGCTGTGCACCAGGGTGCAGAATTCTAATACTGCCCAACTAAGCCTCAAGTATGATCTAGTTGGGATAGGCTATTTGGATTCTCTCTCTCTCTCTCTCTCACACACACACACACACAATTAGCTCTATTGTAGTATTATCTATATGCCCTTTTTGTCCCTTAATAATGCCTGCCTTGGTTAACTATTCATTTTCTCCTTGCTGCATAGATTTCCAAGTTATCACAACGTCAAAATTTTATTTAATTTGCTTGGATTACCAACATAATTTATAATTTATCGATTCTTTAAATTCACAAACCAAACCGTAGCAAGTTACGAATTCTCCGTATATGGCACTCAACATATTATATTCTTCTATTGCTTTTGGTTCTAACTTTTCATGCCCGTCCTTACGTGCAGATGATGTGTTGATGGCCTGCTATAAGGAGTCGGTTTATGAGAAGGAATAAAACGGTCACCCTGCAGAACCTGTGGCGACATCGATGATTGTAAAGGTCACAGTGAAACATAATCTTCTGTTTGTGAGTGAACCCTTTGCTTTGCTTTGTGAGTTCTTTTAGGCTGTGTGTATAATATGATGTTGTGTTGTGATGGCTTTGGTTGGAGTGGCTTATATAATAAAATGAACTCTTCTCATGTTCTTGAAAGTATCTTTTTTTTTTGTGTGTTTCGATATTATTTCCTTTTCCCCTAGGGAATAAAATGTGGTTGGCATTGTTTTATAAATTTGAATCATGTATCAAATTTAGGAGTTTAGTAGCGACGGAGGCACTGTTTGTTTAATTTTATAAATTTGAATCATGTATCAAATTTAGGAGTTTAGTAGCGACGGAGGCACGGTTTGTTTAATTTCTCAGTGGCACCGGAGTGGCATTGTTCTCCGGTGTCACTAGAACCGGGCCGTTTCTCAAAATCAGATTATGTATTCCGTCCGTTCCTAAGTTTTATAGTTTGTTCTCTTCAACTTATTCTTATCAGTTATTCTCTCTATCCCAAATTCATTTATAGTTTCCCGACAACGTGTAAAATTATACTCCATATCTTTTTAAAAATAACCTTATTGATAAGTTGATATAAAAATAAAAGGCGCAAATTACATATTTAAAAAACTAAATCCAAGGTTTATAAAACAAGATGCGACAAAATATTTAATTTTATTAAATTACTAATGGAAATAGGTGTATAAATTATTTTGGACGAAAGGTGTATTATTTATTCTTATTAGAATCAGATCTTTGTGGGACTCAACTGGATTATTATTGTATTAGGATCAGATTAGACCAGATCAAAAATATATTTAAATATAATTACAATTAGATCTGACCATATTAGAACTTTATAAAACCATACAAGTCAGATGAGACGGGGAGAGCAAGCTCTTACTCCCTCCATCCTAAAATTGTCTTCTCATTCACTATGATTAATTGAATTTCAAAAAAGAGTTCCAATCAATAAAAACTACGTACTACACATGATTTTATAATTCTAAACAAATTTTTAAATAAATTGGTTTGAAAATACTATGAGTCAAACACCATAAAAACGTAATATATAAATGATATTGAATTTTTGGTAGCTTTGAGTTGGACATAGACTTTGTTTGGCATTAAACGCCTGAGGTTAACATTAGCGTTATGACCGAAAACATTATCTAACGATAACATTTAGTGTGAGCATTTTAAAAATTAATTAATCAACACTATTAAAATTTTATCTAAAATATCAAAGCTGACCGAAAACATCGTTTCCAAATAAGACTGTAGTCCCTAATTCTCCCTGTTGTTCCCCTAATCTCTCTTTACTCTTCCATCTTATTTTCACATCATCTTTAATCATCCAAACCATAATTATTTTTATTTCATTTTCTCCTTTCACTATTTTTTTTCGAGTTCTTTGCGCCATTCACCCATGCACTTTTTGAAAATTGTACGGGTTCACTCCAAACTTTAAAAATTATAAACTTTTTAAAATGATGCACCAATGGTCTCTCTGTAGCCAGATACGGGAGTGCACTAATCACACGCTCATCAATATATGTGTTGGAGCTTGATGGAGATGTCATAGATTGATAAAAAAGTTGATCGATTGATGACGAACTTTATCGACATATATCCGACCTTCAAATTCAGTTATTGTCTTTTTGACGATTAAACCGAGAATAATTATCTAGGGCTTAAAAAAGTTAAAACTATAGAAATAATGTTTGGGAAGGGCATATTGCAGAGATCACGTGTTATAGATGACTTTATATGAATCCATACTTGTACTAGATGAACGTGTAATTAACGCACTTTCAAATCTGGCATATATGGACCATTGGTGCAATATTTTCAAAAGTTTATGGGGCATTAGTTTAATTTTTAAAATTCAATGGGAATCCATACAATTTTTTAAATGTTTAGGAGTAAATGACGTAAAAAAATCATTTTCTTTCTCATCAGTTTTCTTTCCTTCAATTTTTTTCTCATCAAATCAAAGGGTTAAGTCTTCTAAAAGTTGCATTTTCTACCGGACAATGTTAAAATGTCAGTTAGCCGAGAACAAGGGGTAGAGTATCTGGTAAAATTAACCACTTACATGTAAAATTAGGATCCGTCTAGTGAGAAAGACCAAAATAGGACTAGAACATTGAAAATATACCAAAATAGGACTTCCATGTTTTTATTTCTAAAATAGTACTTAAAATGCATTTACATTACCAAACATGGTCATGTACATTACCAAAAAGTATAATAATGTGCACATGTACAGTGTCACATTACAACCACATTATCACAGTGTGAAGTTCTATTTTGAGAAAAAAACATGAAAGTCTTATTTTGGTATTTTTCTCTATGTTTTAATCCTATTTAAGGTGATTTCTAATCTGTCTAATCCATAAGTTTAAGTTGATAGGTAGAGTTTTACCCTTCTATATATGCTAGTAGTATCCATCTTTATTTTTCTAATGTGGAACTTCAACACTCCCCCTCAAGTGTCAACTAGCCTGACCAAGTTAGTACTTGAATAGATGGGTCTAGCATCTAAATCTTTTATATCTAGAGACTGGGAACGGACATGCTCCGATACCATATTAAAATGTTGGTGGGCCGAGAACAACGAGTAGAGTATCAAGTAAAATTAACCACCTGCATATAAAGTTAGGATTTGCTTTTTCCCAAAAGTTTAACCTGATAGGTGGGTCTTCACTCTTCTATATATGTTAGTAGTATTCATCTTTATTTTTATGATGTGGGAATTCCAACAGACAATGATATTGATTTATTGCCTTGGTCTTAAAAGAAAAATAGGGAGTAAACTAATACTCCCCCCGTCCCTAAATAAACTTCCTCTTTCGTTTTTTCTTTGTCCCAAAATAAACTTTTTTTTTCCCTTAAAAAACCTCTTTTACCCCTTACATTTTCATACTTTACCTATCACATCATAACTTTTTACTAATAATCTACATATCACATCTTACTTTTACACATCACATCAAGGGTATTTTTGGAAAGTCAACACAAAAATATCTCTCCTTTAAATCTTCAAAAAGTCAAAAAGGAAAGTTTATTTAGGAACAGATGGAGTAATATCTTATATCTCATCTCGTGACATGTGAGTCATGAATTTAATATATCTCCATCATTAAAAGATTGTCACAATTTGACTTTTTTGTCAAACGGTGGTACTCTTTGATTATTCATTAAATATACTTAAAAATAATTAAATATTATTAAAATTTGATATTTTAAAATTATATTTTAAAATAAACTCAATTTTACTAAATTTACATTATAACCTAATATATTTTTTTATAATTTGCAATAAAAATTAATATAATTGACTAAAAAAATCAAACTGTGTTAATATTTAAGCTGGAGCCAGTAATACCTCATGTCGCGACATGTGAGTCATGAATTTTCCCTTGCAAGAAACGCGCAGGTCTTGGATGGTGTTCACACTTCGCACGCAACGCAACAAGTCATTGATTTATATTCCGCCTATAAACGGAGTATTTTATGATAAATAAAAGGAGTAATCAAAACTAAAACATTAAAAATATACGAAAATAGGACTTTCATGTATTTATTTTCGAAATATGACTTACATTACCAAACATGATCACGTACATTACCAAAAAAGTATAGTAATGTACACATGTACAATACCACATTATCACAGTGTAAAGTCTAATTTCGATAAAAAACATGAAAATCCTATTTTGGTAATTTTATCTATGTTTTAGTCCCATTTAGGGTGATTTGTATAAACAAAATAAAAAGGTTAGAAACATGTCAAGCTTGACACACAAAATGGCACTAGCATCATTTTTTATCCAAAGAATTTGATTGAAAAAAAGGAAAAGGAAATGAGATGAAATTTGTTTTTTTGTTTAGTTAGAGTGGAACAAATATGCAAAGTGGAAAAGATAAAAAATGAAAAGACAAAATATAGAAGAAAAATCAAATTCCCAAGAGAATTATTACTTTTTCCTTTCCTTTAAATTTCCCATTTTGATAAGAAGACTTGCACATCCCTCTACTAACAATTTTCATTATATTTAGGTTATATTTAGGATAACTTTCCATTAAAAAAATCTAATTCATACTCTCTTCATCTCCCATAGATCTTATTTTTATTCAATTTACTTGATTGTTTGTGTAACATTTAATAATAAAATTTACTCCATAGAGTACATAAAAAACTACACAAAATATTCAACAAAACAAGATGTGATCGACAAGATTATATTATTTTGTAAAATAAGTAATAAAAATATGCGAACAAAATGAGTTAAATTTGATCCTGTGAATATTATTTAAAAAGATCTACTTCCTCCTTCCAATAAAGATGTTCTCATTTTGATTTTTTATAAAAAATTATAGGAGAGATCTTTTTGTAATGACTTTCTAAAAGTGCACTTGATGTAATGACCCGGGTAAAAGTAGGATGCATTACAATATTGATGTAATGACGTCTCTTAGAGGTTGTTTGGTTGAGAAGAAATTGGGAGAAAAGAAAATGAATGAAGAGAAAACACATATTTCAAGTTGTTTTATTTTGTTTGGTTGGAAGAGAATTCGTGGGGAGAAGAGAAAAAGGAGAGAAAAATTAGGCTTAAAGTTTTTTCTTCACATGGGAGGAGAAAAGCCGAGGTTGGGAAGGAAAACAAGCAAAAGTACTATTTTACCCTCTTTATTTATTATTTTAGTATTATAGAGTAAGAGTAAATGTGTCAGTTTGATTTATCATGTTTTCTTTCTTCTTCTCATTTTCCCTTCACTTTCTATCCATCCAAAAAATAAATATTCCTTTTCATTTTCTCTTCATTTTCTTTTCTCTCTATTTTCTTTCCACTCATTTTCTCTTTTTATCCAAACAATGGCTTAAATTCTCAAAAGTACTCTCTCTGTCCTTGAATATTTATCTACTTTTTGTTTTTTTCGATCAAAATGGGTAGAATTTGACATTTACGACTTTAATTAAATAAAAATGATATTAGATATTGATACAAATTAAAAGTTGTTTTATTAGATTTGTTATATCAACTATTTTCAAAATATTATTCTATTTAATTAATATACTCAATCCGTTTGGAAAAAATGTCCCTCTTTTGACTTTGTGTAAAAATAAAGAAGTATTAAGTTATAGTTGACTTCCAATTTTGCCCTTGATGTAATAGGTAAAACTAAGATGTGATGTATAGATTATTAGAGAAAAAGTATGATGTGATAGGTAGGGTATGAAAAAGTAAAGATAAAAGTGGTTTTTTAATAGAAAGTGGAAGTGTTTTGTTGGAAGTGAAAAAATGAAAGAGAAAATGTTTTTGAGAACGGAGAGAGTACAAAATATTTTTTAATTAAATATCAAAAATTAAAAATAGTTGACCAAAAAAGTCAAAAGTCAACGAATAACGAGGGACAGGGCCGGCCCCAAAAATTAAAAAAAATAAAATTGGCAATATGGGGCCCTAAAATTTTAGGGGTCCTGTGTGGTTGGCCACTTTACACAAGCTCGCCATCCATGACGAGGGACTGTTCCTTGGCAAACGAGACGTCAACAATTTTTGCGTTTACACTGAAAGGCTCTAGCATGATCCATTTTACGCAACAATTATCCACGTGTCAGACGCAGAGTCAATACCGTATTTCAACAGAGTTTAATCCATGCAAGCAATTAAGCTCCAAAGTCCATACTCTTCTTCCCCTTTCTTTATATATATATATATATATATATATATATATATATATATATATATATATATATATATATATATATATATATATATATATATAATTATAATTCTCACCTCTTTCCCAAATTAATTTAAGGAAAAAAAAGAGATTATTTACCATAACTCCGGCCACCGGAAAAGTATATACATTCAATAAAGAATAGTAACAAGAGCTAGCGGAGATCGATGGAGATAGAGAGCGGCGACGTGACGGCGGCGGCGGCAGTGTGGGTGAAGGTGGGGGTGTTTGTGGCGGTACAAGCGCTCATCTATTTCATTCTTTCCAAGTCGTCCAATCTCTTTTCCGGCGGCAGCGGGACGCCGCCACGACCCGGCAGCTTCAAGAGGGCTCGGACCCTCAGCATCCGCCGCATCGTGGCCGCCTTTTCAGACTTCCCGGTCGGCGTGGACAGCTCACCGGTTTCTGCTGACGACTAATCCCGTCAACCTTATCTTATCGCTTTTCATATTGTGTTAATAATAATACGGAATATTCTTTGTACGGTTGATTATTATCTTATCATTCTTATGTAATTGTTAGTCAATCAAAATAAATACACATTATTTATGAAAGTCTTTATACTTTTAGTTAATTACTTTTTATGATTCATTGGTAAATATGTTTGGAATCCTCTCTATATACACACTTACTTGTATTCTACATATTTGACAATCAATACAATTGTTCAATTATTCAATATGGTATAAAAGCTATGACTTATTCTCTAACCCTAGCCTCATTCGGGTCTCCTCTTCTTCTCTCAGACGTGTGCCGCCGCATAGTCCTCTCTCTCTATCTGCGATCATTCTCAAGCCCCTCCCCCGCCGATCCTCTCTTATCATGATGACAAATGGATGAGATCCGTTAGGGTTTAGCACTGTACCTGGAGGATTGAGGCTATTCCTTCACAATCTACACTCACTTGTTTCCACAAAGTTGGAGGACAATAACTATCGGTCCTCGTCATCAACTGTTGAAGCGACTTTTACTGTTCATCGGCTTTTTAGGTATGTAGATGGTACCGACTTTCAGTCTCTATCTACGATCAGATCCTTCCCTATGATTTCACATAGTTCAACGATTCGTTGAACTATGTTCAACTCATTTCGTTGAACTAACATAGTGAAACGTTTGAAACGAATCCTCAGAATGAGTTGAACGTAGTTAGACGAATCCCTTGCTAATAGCTAATATCGAAGTGAGATATCACTATTGATTGATAGAAAGCCCTATTGTAGACTAATAGCTCTAGCTTTCGATTCCTCCACACTTCCATTTGTTAGGAAGAGCTATTATTAATAGTAGACTTTATTTCCCGCTTCAAGCAAAGCACCACCGACAACCATTGTCGAAGAAAAGGCTGCATCTTATGAAGGTTAATTAGGCGTATGATCAATGAGTCATCATTGATGCTCAGTTGCATGCTTCTCTTCTTGCTCTTTAATTCTCTCTCCAGTTGTTTAGAATCATGTTCATTTTTGTGCCACTATTGCTGAGATCTGGAACCATCTTCATCTGGAATATAAATCCTTATCCCATACACATAAAATTCAACTTAAAGAGCAAGTTTATCATCTTCACACAGGGCAATATAGTATGCAATCATATCTTGATGAAACTTTAAAAATTGGTACGTCTCTTGCCCTTGCTCGTGAGCCAATCATATCCCATAACTACAACTTGAACAGTAACTACATCTTGGTACTCCTCCAAGTTCCTCGGCAGAGCTACATACATCCCTCTATGACTCCAATGGTAACTCTTCCAACCAACGTGGACGTGGTCGTTTTGGTGGCGGCAGGGGACTGGCCGAATCAGTGCCAGTGGCGGCAGGTCTGGTGGTAGCGGCAATAAGTACAGTAATAGCAGCAACAACCACGACGGGCGCGGTAGGGGTTTTGCAGCGTGATGACCCTGTTGTGTGCCACATCTGTGGAAAGTTTGACCACAGTGCCCTGCGGTGTTGGAACTAGTTTAATGAAGATTTTTCTAACTCGTCTGAGTATAAGCATAATACTCAGGCGTTATAGACTATATACTTTACAGAATTCAATCTAAATTGACATTGAAATTTTAGAAAAACTACTCATGTTATCTCTGATTTGTCAAGACTGCAGAATCCTCATTCGTACCATGGCTCGAACTCTGTCACCATGGCTGGGGGATAGTCTCTACCAAGTTTTCATATTGGCTCAGGACAGGTTTCTACACCCATAAGTACCTTTAGTATATCAAATTTACTCCATGTCTCTACCTTAAAACTCATCTCTTGTTTGTTCATAAATTTACCATTGATATTAATTGTGTTATTCTCTTTACTTTGAAGGTTTTTTAATCTTGGACAATCATACAAATCAGGTGATATACAAAGGTTCATTTGAGCACGATTTATACACTCTTCCTATCAAGTTCATAACTTCCTTGTCTATGTAAGCTGTGTTTTCTTTCAATGGCTAATGCCTTGAAGACAACATCTCATTAGTGGCACTATCGACTTGGTCATCCGTCATTTCAACTTATAAAATTATCTATACATATACAAAGATGAGAGCCACATTTGAACAGTGATCCCGCCTAACAAAATTGGGCCGGGTAACACTGTTCATGAATGGTGGGCTGATTGGACTGCTAGGCTTTTGGGTTAGGGTAAGGCATGTGGGTATAGGCTTGCTTTAGTAGACTTTTACTTTACCCTCATCTTGGTCATGAGGTTGACCACTGATAAGTTAGTTATTTTTGTACTCCCTCCGTCCCAAAAAGTTTGTTACATTTAGAAAAAACTGCGTCGTGTAAAGTATGTTACATTTCTATTAAAAAATCACTTTTACCCCTTACTTTTTCATACCATACCTATCACATCATACTTTTTTTCTAATAATCTACCCATCACATTCTACTTTTACCCATCACATCAACGGTATTTTTGAAAAGTCAAAACCAAAATATCCCTTCCTTAATTTCCCAAAAAAGTCAAACCGTCCCATTCTTTTTGGGACGGAGGGAGAATATTTTATCATAATTTGATAGATGTATTAACTTGGATTTTAATACTATTTCAATCTTAATTGCGTATTAGAGCATCTTCAATGGAGAGTGGATAAAATTGCAAGCTATAAGCTAAAATAGCTTATACATAGTGTTTTAGCTTTCAAAATTTCTTGCTGTTTTCTAATCATATCAGATATAATATAGACTTCTCATATAGTAATTGATGGGTGTATTCCATCCAGAACCGGTCAAAGAAGAAGTCAAAATATTCAACCGGTCAAGGTTGATTTTTCAGGATGGGAGACCTGAATTGTCAGAAAAAGGATGCTTGGTTGACCAAAAAGTTGATCGGTATACTTCGAATAGTATACCGGTCAGACTACTTTATCACCTCATTCGTCACCAATTTTGAAAAACCCATCCCTCAAAAATCACCCGGTATGATTTCTAGGGTTGGGAAGTATCAACAAAGAAGAATCCAAAGTAGCCTAGACTGTAGCGACCATGATCAACGGAGGATCATTGAAGATACTTGATTAATCAGTCCAAAGCACTACAAGACAAGGGAGCTACCTTCTTCAATAGATGACAAGGCCGCTGAATGACAGAGGCAATCACCTCGCACCACCCAGGAACGTGCCCTGACGTGGATGTGCAGCGTCTTGTCCCCTTTAGCTTACTATAAATAATAATGTAACCCTTAAAAGGAAGGATCCGACTCCTTTTTTCTAAAACTCCCGTGTAAAAGCTACTGTGTATTCTTCTATATATTCATAATATTAATTGGGTTACAGGTGTTTCCACCTACAGTCCTTTTTGAGTGTTTTTACCTTTTACATTTACAAATCGAGTAAATAATCCTCGACCCAGTTTAGTACTGTTTACCCGGTTAAATAATTAACACCATCAATACTCTTTGCTCCCTAATTATTTGGTTGGACATCTCATCAAACATGTTCTATGCAACACTGAAAATTCATCATCTACTTTTCTCTCAAAATTTAGCAACCAAATACGGAGTAGTTAACAGAAAAAGAAGAAATTAGACCTATATATAGTTAATTGAAGAACTTCGCAAAGAAGAGCAATGGAAGAGAGATTGACAGAAGATAGAAAGTAACCATTGGTTAACAAATGCCAGTGGTTGGAAGGGGGGGAGGGGAGTGAACAAGATGATGTACAGAGTACTAGAATTTATTTAAAAGTAAGAAAATAAATTTTTAAGGATATAGATGATCTACAGTGTAGTCTATTTATAGATGATGAAAAACCAAATATAGACTACAGTGTAAAAAATAGACTATCCATTGGAGACCACTTTTGATTACAGTAAAAGCTAAACCCTCTATTTTTGCGGTGCTCTTATATGTAATATAGGTAAATTTAGGGGCTGTTTGTTTCAGTCTCTTAATAGTTCAAATGTTTGAATGGTTCAGCACTTAATGGTTCAGACTGTTTGTTTTAGCCTCTTAATGGTTCAGATGTCTGAATGATTAAGAGATTTGCCTCTGAATGGTTAAGTATTATACAGAGTCTGAATGGTTAAGACCTCTTATCTGAATTGATCAGACATTTGTCTCTGAATAGTTAAGCAATATACTAGCTTTTAATGGCTCAGCACTTAATGGTTCAGACCTTTTACCTATTCAGAAGTTGCCAAACTGCACCTTAGACCGATTGGTGATAATTGATTGATTTTAGAGTCCAAATTCAAAAATGAGGCCGAATTGTAAGAATAGGGCAATTTGTAATATTCAAAAGTGATTTGATTTGATCTCCCCAATTTGCAAAGGATGGAGACGAGACACAACTCTGTCCCCATCAGCGAACCAGCTCCAATCTCAGTGGATACCTGACGTCTTCTCCGGCGAAGCTCCAACCGGGCGACGAACCAGCGGCGAGCTCAGACTATACCCTAGCATCCCTTCCAGGCGTCAAGGTCTGTCCGGCGAGCGGGCAACAGCGGAAAACGACAACCTCTTCTACCATCAACCAGCGGCACGACCTGGGATCCGGCGAGAAGAGGACGTTGCAGCCTCCGGGTTCTGGCGACGACGAGGCTGCCTAACAGTGGCGATGACCCGGCGCGCAGCTCAAGTCCAGCAACCAAACAAAGTAGCGGAGCAGGTTTCCATGTCTGAATTTTTTTTAGAGTGAAATTACCCTTGGTTCTTTTCTTTTCTAGTACTACCTCCGTACCAATTTATAACGCCTGTTTCGGTTTACGATGTTTGACTGAAATTATTTTCAAACCATTTTATATGACAAATGGTATAGAATTAAAAAATAAAAATTACATATTAAAAAACTACATCAAAAGATCTACAAAACTAGTAGTGATAATAATATTTTATTTTATCAAATTGCTAACGAAAATAGAGAAAGAAAATGAATAAAATTTGACCATGTGAATAGTAAACAGACATTATAATTTGGGACGGAGGGAGTAATTTTTAGAGATGTACCCTTATTTGTCATTTGACTCCTCACTCCTCTCTTCTAGATATAAACTCTCTTATAAAGCATGAGCACTGGTGAGGCAAAATTGGAATGCCAATGCTGATGTAGAACATTTCAATCAATGAATGATAGTATAGTCAGCGTGCGGCAAATGAGTGGAGTGGCATGCCCTGCAGTGGCAAGTCACTATTTTTATTACCTTTTTCATTTTCTTGCAATATTTGAATTATTAAAAAATATTCACCTATTTATTTTAACATCAAAATATTTATATTTATTGAACAAATTACATTATTAAAATGTATTTCAATTAATAAAAATTATTTTTCTTATATGCTCCATATTTTTATTTATCCCTCCGTCTCAAATTAGATTACATTTTAGAATTATGATGCAAAACTCCTTGTTTTTTATAATTATTTTATTTAAAATTGGTAAAAGAATAAAAGTAAAACTTACAAATTAAAAAACAACATCAAAAAATAGTTCCACTACATCTAAAAAATTCTTTCTAAAAAATAAAATAATTCTACTTTTAAAAAATTTGTATTACGCCACAAAAAAAACAAAGAAAAAAGCCAAGGAAATGGATTAGTAGACAACAAAAGTGCCTCACAGCCTACTTGGAAACCGTGGAGGAACGGTATGCACACGCGAGACAAAGAAAGATTTTTGTCCGAGCTGGCAAGCATGTCATCTCATTTACACGCCATAGCCTTTGCTCTTAGATCCATTCTCTTAGGAGAGCTCCCCCACTTATATTTTCACATCTTAGAGTAGGGTTCATTTTTCTGCATGTTCTTCATCTTGTCATTTTTATTTTGCGAGCTCCAAACTTAGATATTACATCTCTTTAATATTATTTAGTTGTCTCTTAGTATTGAGTTTTATTTCTTCATCTTGCGTATGCCTTTAGTTTATTTTCTTACTCTTTTATCTTTATACATCTCTATAGTTTAATCATGCTGAGACTAGATATTCTAGTAAAGGTTAGATGATAGAATGTTGATTAATGCTTGTTAGCATTGGATTAGTGTGAGATTTGAGATATATATTAGCTTATGGATGTTTGTGGAGATTGTTCATATTTTTGCTTGGGTGTTGTTGTTGGCCACAATGACATTCATATATCTCGGAGTGTATTCTAAATCAGTGAGGAATCGGGATTTAGAACCCTAGTCGTGAGTGGGGGGGTCAGTCCGGGTGAGGGGGGGGGGGTTACCGGGGGTTAGGGGGTAGGAATCATCAATTTTTCAAACGGAGCACAATAGGTGCCCCGAATCATCCTATATCGTTGAAGTTGAATGCCACTTGAACTATAATTAGAATCGAGTGATTTGAGCTATTTGGGAACTACTTACAAACCCTCCACACCTATTTTATGTTTGGATGAAGTAAAATTGAGATAAAGGGAAAGAATATAAAATAAGAAAAAGCAGAAATTCCAATGTCCTACCACGGAAGTGGAGGATACTTGAAAAACTTGTTTGATGTGGTTATAGTTTTCTTAACACGAGCGCCACAGAAGCGGGTTCTTATTTAGGAGATTCTTTTTTCGATTCTCACGAAAGTGAGAATCATGGTGATTTGCTCTCATTCTAGTCGATTTCTCTTGTTCCTCTAGTTCATTGGTAATTCACATGATTGACATGAAAATCCCTAACCTAGGCTTGCTTTCCTTTTTCTCACTTGCATCTCATTTTAGTAGTTCATTGCAATAGTTTAGTTTTATTCGCTTGCATTTCATTAATCCTCTATCTTCCTTTAAGCCTTGATTCACAATATAAAATTTGATATTAGTATTTAGTTTCACCTTGCACTAATTTCTAACCAATCACGTTATCTTTGTGGATTCGACATTCCGTACTTCTATCACTATACTCGTCCATTTACTTTTACCGCATTTCATTCCATCTCACTTTCATTTTTTTCAATTTTTGAGCGAGGATTTTCAGTATCAAACAACGTATCGGAAATCCTCCCATCCTCGCTCATATAGTTGTTTTCTTCTAGGGATATGAACATTTGTCCTAGGGTTATTTATATTCCATTAATATTCAACATGTGTCCAATCATTGTGAACACATGTCTTTACTCATTTTATTCATATTACGTTAATCTTGAAAAGTAAAAACTCTAGTTTTAGATCAATTTTTTAAAACTAAGCAACCAATGCTCCACATAGGCTCTACACGTGTTTTAGATCAACCTTCTAAAGTTAAGCATTTTTTATGAGTTTTGCATTAAAGATTGAATTAAACTATATGTACCTCAAAAACTATATCCCACTTTATACTTCGAAGGCACACACCAACATTTGTGGTAGTGCAATGCTAGTGTGCTTGTTTACAATGATATAAAAAGTCAATGCCAATTTTTATTAAATTGACATTTTGTGGTAGTGTGAATCATTAAAACGTTGGTGCATCCTTTAAGGTATAATTTGGGGTACACTTCTTGGTGTACGGTGTACCCTAGCATGGTTAAAGATTCTCTTAAGAGCAACTTCAAATAGGGGAATGCAAAATGAGAAGGTGTGATTTTTGCATTGATAAAAAATGAAATGATCAATCTAATGAAGAAATGATAAATTTGAATAGACAAATTTAAAAGGGTATTAATACTTCTTCAAATTGGGAGGAGTTTTGTATTTCTATTTGCCTTTACCATTGGAATGCAAAATATATGACAAGAGAATGCTAGAGTGGAAGTGATCTTGTTTTTCCTTCTTTTTTTCACCTTCTCAATTTTGGGATGGTACTGATACCCATCCAAATTGAAAGAAGATATTTTATCTCTTCATATAACTTCACCATTGGATTACAAATATATGAAAAGAGAAGACATATTTGAAAATTATAAGGTATGACTCTTCATTCACATTTTCATTGGAGTTGCTATTATGAAGTAAATTCGAGTTTGACTTCATTTATGAAACAATGCTTTTCCACTCATTAATTAATGGAAAGAGGAGGGCAAAAAGATGAAACAAAGCTTTTCCACTCAGTTAAAATTAACAAACTTTGACTACTAATTAAATAAATTATTTTAGGAGCCTATCATATATGTGTGTGTGTGTGTGTCTGTATGTATGTATGTGTGTGTATATAGATTTTGGTTCTGGTGAGAATGCGATCTTAGAAGAGAAATGAAAATGAATGAAGTGCTTTAGATTGTGAGATCTAAGGGTCAGGATTGCATCAAAATTATATGCATGCATGTATGTATGTATACACACACACACTATAATTTACTAAGCAACATTGTCATTCTAATATTTTTAATATCATATTGGAGTCATCGCTTGTGGTGACTTTTTTTGCTTCTGCCGCCATCGTCGGTAATTTATCTGGCAACAACGGCTTCAATCCAAACAAATCAAAACAAATAAGAGATTGCACAAATCCAAGAAAGTGACAAAGAATGTCAGATAGCTTAAGTCAAACAAGCACCCCTAATAGCCTTCTCTTTTTCTTTAACATCAGCAGCTACTAGTACACACCAGACTTCTTTCTTATTCGTCGATGTTAGCAGCTTCAAACGCACATTAGATTTCCCTCTTATTTGTCGACGTTAGCAGCTTCAAACACACGTCAGACTTCTATCTTCTTTTTTCGATGCCAGGAGCTACCATCACACGTTTGACTTGTCTCTTCTTCTTCGACGTGAGTATCTATTAGCATATTCGCGTATAGTACGCGTATTATTGACCCGTGTGTAATGTGTATAATACATGTATTATACTCCCAAATAAAAAAATTTCACGTGACAAATGTATAATACACATATTTTTGACCCAAAACGTATTTACGAATTTTATATGACTTAAATCGTAAAAATCTTTTTCTATCCGCAGTAACAGTAAAAATCTAGATGGTCAAATTTTAGATTGGATCAATTTACTTAATTGTTTTCCTACCAAAATTATTAATCTTTAAAATTTGGCAACTTAGCAGTCGAGTCATCCACTAACGTTCTTTGTTAATTAAATATCATCCAAGTCTAACGGTCTCTTCGACTCCATCCTGTTGGAAGTCCAACACTCCAATCTCTATAGCAAATAGTAGACAATATTCTCTCTATTTGTTTAGATTTTTAAAAGTAAATAATTTTTTGTAGCGTATTTAATTAGTTCTTGTGATTAAATATTAACCCACATTTAAAAATATAAATTTGATTATATTTGTGTGATTTGAAATCAAAAAATTAGGTTTGTAACTATATTTTTCATTCTAAAAATGAAAAATATAAAGTTGATTTTATTTTAAAAATTTTAAATTGCGTAAAAGATTATTTAGTAAGTTCATGTTTATATTACAAAGAATCTTAAATCTTCATTTAGAATTCATGATAATCATTTAATCAATTTTGTAAAACTCAAACTATCTAATAATATAATTTTTGTCATATCTTAAATGCATCATTTTTGTCTAAATGTTAGCTTCATTTTCAAGAACGCGTTCTTACTTTGATTGCATTTTGTGGAAGTACACAATAATAATTAGATTGAAAGATCTCCTTTGGATACACACAAAAAAAATGGATAAAGAAAAAATTTTAATGGTTGAATTTTTAGAATATTTATGGTGTTTGTATTCACTTTCAAAATTTAAACTGTCTTTCTTATTAAAAATATCTACACTCATTAAAAGTTGTATTCTTGAAAAAATCAAACATATAAAATATGTATGTATATCCGTATACATATTCGATCTGAACGTATAAAAAAACATATTTTAAAAACGTGATTCGTGTTATACACAAAATCTACGAATAAATGTATTTTACCCGTATGGGAATAAGCTAACAGTCAGTAGCTACTAGCACACATCAGACTTCTATCTTCTTAAGTTTTCAAGTTTCCAGTCAGTGTCCAAGCTTACTTTTGTTTCATCGAGACTTAGCTTGAGGGGGAATATGAGAAAATAATGCTTAGTATTTTTGTTTATGA